TAAAATAAATAGTTTAATTTATTAATTTTATATAATAATCAAAAAAAAAATAAAACAAAAAAATAAAAAAAAAAATATAATATTTTTATTGTTGTTGAAATTTCTGCAATGCCTCTTCTAATGCAAATGCCATATATTCTACGGATTTACTCTCAACATTATCATCACATGGAATGTCATTTTCTGGATCTTCAACTTCTATCCGTGATTCTTCTTTGAAATATCGTAAACGTTCTAATAAGGATTGAACATGTTCATCAATCCCATCTTGTAAGAATGAAAGGCAATGTAAATATTTGAACCCATTATTGGTGTAGCAAGATTTATGATAGGTGTGACCACAAGTTAGGACTTTAATCGGATCTGTATTGATTAATAAAGGAATAGGACAGTTAGATGCATCACAAGATCGAAATGAATTTGGTTTATATAAAGTATTAAACCCTAATGGAAGATGGCACAATCGTACTTCTGGCATTTTCATTGCCATTAATGAAATGACAATATCATCAATTTTCTTCCTTTTCTTTGAATATGGATTTGGATTCACGGTACTCTGTAATGGAAATATTAATGGAGAATTATTGCGATATAAGCGTGTATAAATTTCTGAAAAATACTGCAAAAGAAAACATGCACTTTTCTTCGTTAAAAACATAATATTCTGAGCAGAATATTCATAGGCAGCCCATATGGATGTGTGTGCAATATTCTCTTTAAATCCGTTATCATCTAAACGCAATCAGTTGATATAATATTCGCATTTGATGATTTGCTATACTTCAGTGTATTTCTGTGTGCTTTGACGTAGAAAGCTATGAAATATTTCTACAGTTGAGTCTGAAAACTTTGGGAGTTCAGCTTTGATAGTCTTTAAGATAGGATGATCATTTAACTCCCAATAGAATATATCTGAAAGGAACATAAACGGTACTTTGGTATAGTTTTTGCGGCAGAACTTAAGAAATACTACCCACACACGAAGACACAATTCTAGATAGGCGTCAAAGTCACCAGATCAGAAAAACACTGCGTATACATCTAGGACCAGAGGAATTAGGTTATCAAGTAAATCTTTCAGTGCAAGATATTCAGCATCTTTGCACAGCAATCCAAATTTTCTTTCAACATTTGTTGAAATTTCCTGCCAAGCATCACGAGAAATCTCTAAAAGAAGATTAATACGTCATGGTTTAGACTTTTGTGCAAGGGAACTTCATTCTCCAAAAATGTACTTGTATATAGCCAAAAAAAATGGCTGATATTGAAGGAATATTAGCTCTCGACTATTTAATGAAATATGCAAGGGACCTATAATGGAAAGAAATGATAAAATAGAATTAGTAAGATTCGATTGATTATGATATAATATAAAACGAGAAATAGCTGTCCGAAAGTAGATCTGTCCAGGCCAATCAGCTACAACAGGTATAATATATTCCTTTTGAATATACTGTTGTATAGACGGAACATTTATAATAGCATCGAGAGCCTTGATATATGCATTTAAAGAGTGGAGATTATTTTCTTGCAAATCTATAAGGATAACGTCTTTCATCGAACGAGCATCCCATTTTTCTTTCAACCTAGTGTCATAACAATGTACTGTTAATTCTTCTAATTTAGTACTATCATCAACTGAACGGAATCCCAACGTTGATTATGCGAAAGACTGAGAAGCTTTATAAATCTATTATTTAGATTCAGTTTTATCAACTCTGCGTTGACCAAATTAGGATTGTATATATTTATATTCGGAATCGCACTCTGTGTAGCGATCGGATTTATCAAAATTGTTGCCAAATGTGCTGCAGTAGAAGTAGTGGTCGTGTTTGGCATCCGTTTCGTATGGATACTATGATAATTGTCGATGTTTAATACCATTACTTTTTCTACATGTTCTGTAAGTGTAGAATCGACAGTTTTAGCATGTTCATCAGATATGGTAGCTTTATATCACGTGATTGTATGAGATGTTGTGGTTATGCCTAGATCAACAAGAGTGTCTATGAAGGAATTAGAAATTCCGGTAGAATTCAGATATACTGTCAAATCTCTCTTTGCGTTATTAATAAACTTATTACAAATTCTGCAAAGAAAGTAGTATGCAAATAGGAGCTGCTTTTTTGCCCGTGCCTATGAACTTTCATTTTTTGAAGAAGGGTTAGATGAAAGATATAACTCATCAAAAAAACCCTTTAATCTTGCATCTTACCCCTCCATAACTGTGCGAAATTCATCAAAAGAGTATATCGTTGATTTTTTTTCCCTATTCTCATAATTATATAAAATGTCAGTTATTATTTTAATTGCTTCAGAAAAGAATAAAATAGAAGGTGAGGGTGGCAATGACTTAGGAGGTTAAGGTTGAAGAGGTGGAGGCGGAGGCTGTGAAGGTTGAGGTTGTTCTAAAATAAGCACCGTACTTGTTTGAGTATGTTGTCGGAATTCAGCTGAGCTTCTTGTTATGATTCCATTATAACAGTTTAAGCATATTGTGTCGCCTAAATGGATATAAGCTGGCAAAGTATGGTTAGCTTGACTTTTGGAAATAATAAACTCAGTTACCTTTCTCCAATTAGTCGACTGTCTTTGGCATATAGTAATTACACATGGTCCAGTAATAGACATATTTTGTCTTCTAAGTAAAGTTCTCCGGGTTTTTGATTTTTTTTTGATTCTTTTATATGGAGAATTTTAAAGTTATTTCGAAGCTGGAAATAAAATTTTAGCTTATTTTATCAAGTAGATTATCTAAATCTTGAAAAGTACTTTAAACTGTATAAATTCGATTGAAATCGATCGACTAATCACATGAAAGTCCTCCTATGAATTTATATCTGATCGACAATTTTCTCGTGATCATGTGATACATTTGTGTTATTAAGTTAATGGATTTTGAATAATAGATTTTTTATACAAAAAATAAGAAAACAAAAATAATATCATTTTATTTTCTTTTATGTTTAGGACTAGTTTAACTATGTTATTTTTATATAAATAATATAATTTTTCATGAAGTGATCAAATTAATATAGTTTTATATTTTAAAATCAATTCTTGACTATTGTAAATTATATAAAATAATTAATGATCATTTTTATCTGCCTTATACAATTAAAATAAAATGAAAATATATATTAAAAGAGATATATTACCATTCTTAATTCTTTTAAAATATTTGATATTCGCTAAGAAAATCAATATATACCTCCTTGGTATATCATTAAATTTGGTTAAATTATATTATATAGTAAATTTTTCGAATATAAGGCTACAAAAATATAATATAAAAGTAAGAGTGAATCAGAAGTATTATTTATTTTTTACTTTTGCTAATTTTTACTTATGAATTTTTATAATAGATTTGAAATATCGTCATCTCAAAATATTTGGATAGAAGTTGATTAAATAATAGTATAGATATAAAAATTGAATATTTATATTAAATTTAGTTAATTTAATTTAAACATATAAAATCATTTTAGTTAAGGTATAAATATTAAAAATTATTTAATCATTTTATATTAAATTTTTCTTATATTATTTAAAATAAATACCCTAAGACCTACAGTTTAGAGTTTAGTTCATTATTTTTAAATTTTATTATCAATTTAATGTTTAATTAAAATAAAGAGCAAAATAATACATAAACTTAGCAAAAAATTTATCTTTAAACTTATTTTTACAAGAATTTGTATAAAAGGCAATTTGCTATACTTGTAAGAGCTAGAAAAAACAATTTCCTGATTTAATAACTTTTACATACATATAGTAATTTAAAGAAATTATACATTGTTAATGTTGAAAATTTGTCCTAAAAAAATAATTTACAAAAGTTATTAAATTTAATTTCCTATTGTAAGCATTAAAAACTGTATTTTACAAATGTATGACATTTTATGAATTTGATAGCTTTAATAAGAGCTATACCTTCTTGAACTATTTCTGCTACTTATCTTCAAGAGGATTTATTTTATAAATAAATTTTATTTGTCCAAGAATCTGGTTTCTATTTATTTAATTTATTCTAATTTGTTTGGTTCTTCAATTTCATAATTCTTTAATTTTTTGTAATTCTATTTTCATTATTTCAGTATCATCATTTTTTTAAATTCATATCATTAATTATTCTTTTAAGTTTTATCAGATTATTATAATATTTTTTTTAGGTTTTCAGAGTCAGTATTAAGTGTATCTTCTTTTAATCTTAATAATTCTTTATCATCTGTTTATTCTTTATTGTTAAACTCTCCTTTTGATTATTTTATTATTATCTCTCTGTTAGATTTCATTATCATTAGACCTTTCATTTGATTATTTTCTTATAATCTGTAAAATTTATAATTCATTAATTTTATTTTTTTTGTTTTCAGTTTATTAATAAGTTTCTATTTTTATGTTATAACAGATTAGTTTCTAACATTAACTTTAAAATAACAAAGAGATTTTCAATATTGCAATCATGGTGTAAATATGTTATTAGAAGACATTTTCTATTTATTTATAATTTCTAAATTTTATTATTTATAATTTCATAAATTTACTAAAAATTAGAACGAACCTATTATTCTTTTCTAAGTATTCAATTATACATAATATTCTTTATTAATTTATTATTAAGGCATATAGAGGTTATGATCTACATTTTATATGAAGAATTCTATTTTATTTATATAAAATTAATATAGATCATTTCTGTAAATTCTATAACTTCTTAATTTTTTATTTCTGCAATTTCTAAGTTTTTTTAATTATTTTGTGTTTTCTGTAATTTTTGTCTACAATTCTGTAATTTCTTAATTAATCTAATAATTCCGTTATTTTCATTCTTCTCATGATATAATTCATAATATTATATTTTCTTTTTAAGATTTCTTTTGTTTCTCTTATTTAGAAATTATTCAACATTTGGTAAGTAATTTGTCCTTTTTCTTTGGTAAATAATTTATTCTTCAGCTAATAGTTTATCTGTATTCGGTATTTTAGTTTTTCAGTTAAATATTTATCTATTGATCTTTTTTTTATTTATCAAATATTTTCTTAATTATTTGTTAGAACGTCACATGATTTCGTTTTTATGAATTCTTGACTCTACATTGTAGATCATATTTTCTAGCATATTTTCTTTCACTGTAGTGTTTATCTCTAGATTCTCAACAATTTAGTTGAATTGATCAAGATACTCTAAAAAGACAGGATTGATATTTCTGTTTTTCAACTCCTTTTCCACCACTTCAATTATTAAGGAAGATCTTAATCGACATACTGCATTAGAAAATCAGATTAATTTATTTAATTTGAAGAATTTGTAAAATTCACCTGATTCACCTGATTTAATTTAATTGGCTTATTTTATTAAATTCTTTACATATTTATTATTTTTGTTATAATTATTATTTTTATTATTGTTATATTTTATCTTCTATTTTATATTTTTATTTTATTATCTTTTATTATTATTTTATAAGCAAAGTTTATCAAAATAGTTAGTTTATAGTGTAGCAAGTAGTTAGTTATAGCAAATTCATTTTGTATAAATAGAATAGCTTTTTGCTTAAGTTATAAATTAACTCAGTTGTAAGTTTACAAATTCATTTGTAAGTTTTACATAAATTTCAAGTTATAAATAAAAGAATCAATTTAAATCTATACAAATTTACTTTTCCCTTCAACATTATCTCTTATCTAGAATTTGTTGTGATACCACTTTCAAGTGAGAATTTACTCTAGTATTACACTTTCTCTAGTAATTAAATAGAGATTAAATAGATTTATAGGAATCTTAGGTAGAAATAATTATATTTAATAAATAAATTACTTAATTATTATTGAGATTGTTAAATAAAACTAAAGGTTTTGCAAATCATTTAAATAGTAATAGATATAATTTAGTAAATTATATTAAAACCTTATTAAAAAAAATTTATAAAACTCAGAAAAAAGTAAAACTATATTAAAATTTATAAAATAGCAAAATTATATTAAAACTTTAGTAAAAAATTAGTAAAACTAGACTGATTTAAATATAATTCATATTTAACAGATTAGATCAAATCAGATTTATCAAATTTGAATTGAATTTAGATTCAAATTCAAATCAGATCAAATCCATCACATTCAG